GGGGGGGTGACAAACTGTCTTTCTAGATCCAATGTGAGAGAGGGCTAGGACAACAAAGGACAAATTGATATTTCAGCAGGGGCAAAAGATCAAATTGTTATCCCATATAAATAAAAATTTGAATTAGAACATTTACATACATATCGCACAATTCCTATCTTTTTACATATCCAATACCTAAATTTTATTTTATTTTTGCATTTATATCATTTTACTTGTGCTTTAAGAAAGTGTGTTTCACTCTTTAGAAGTTAGTAGATATGAATGTAACAATCAAAATTTAGGAGGAAGATATATAAATACAAAGAATTGCATGGTATTTATATAATAACCCCCCCTTTTTTTTATTTGTCAAAACGGTCAAGTGTTCTTATATTACGCTGCAAATTGATTTTTATTTAAGAGTGCACTTGACTGCTAGAATATATAATCTATTTTTGATAGAGATAACTGCAATTTCTTTATTTATATAGGAAAACAAAAAGTTGGATATGCATGTAAATACATAAAAATTATGGTATTTATGTAGATTTCCCTTTGCATAAATTATGAAATCTTGAAAATTCATGCTACTTTGCAGATATGATTTCTAACCTCAAGTAATCAAAGTCATGTTGGTTTTTAAGAAAAAAATATTACATCATGACTCCGCACGTAGAGCTGCAATAACATCGAAAATATTCACAGAACGCAATAACACCTGAATAACATACAATAACACCTGAATAACACACAATAACACCTGAATAACACGAGGGGAATATTCACTTTTGTTACCGGGCCGATCACTTCCACGGCGTAATTTCATTGGACTATGCATGTAGCTCTACGTAATCTTGATGTAATATTTTTTTTGTTTTTAATAGTGTTGTAGACATGGTAAAATTAGACAGCGGCATTCGACGTAAATTGCATAAAATAGCACTTGCGTGAAATACTAAAAAATTGCTTGTAACTAATCTCAAAGAGGTCTAAAGGTTCAAAAGGAAAAAGTACGAAGAAGGTGGCACGCTTGTCCAACTGAGTGAAATTATCTGAGCCAAGCTGGCGAAGCCAAAACCGACCCTGGATGCGATAAGCCTACCCATTAGTATAGTTGATTCAATGCAAGATTTAGCGCCACGGTATCTCCAACCATCAAGTGACGCCTCAAAAGTTTCTCATCAAAGACTAAAGATAAACAGCTAGGTTGTATCAATCAGTCGAACCATACTGACCAAGTTCTGTTGCCTGAGCTGATTCTGCTGACCTAAAGTTAACTGAACATAGTCGATTGAGTCAGAAAGCAATCAGATGACGAATCTATACATGTAAAATATCATAAATACCCTAGTACATATCCATTTAACGTAGATGTAAAATTGTAATATCATCATTGTATCATTTCTTCTATAAATAGGAGAATTATTTTCTAAATAAGACACGGCGAATACTATTCATGCTCTTTTTCTCTCTCTTTCATGGGTGTGATTCAATTTGAGGATTCATCACGGCTTATCAATTCACATGTCAACTAAAATGGGAATAATATTGTTATGTGATATTAAGTAAACGTCACAAATAACTTAAAATCTCTAACATATTGTTAGGGCTTATTTGATATCATTTTTTATAAAATTTTAAAAAAATTTATTTTTTTCTGTTTTTTTATTAGTGTTTTTATTTTATTTTTCAAAATAAATTTATTTATTTAAAAAATATTTTTAGTGTTTTAATAGATAATCATCACCAACAACTATCAATGTTGTGAGAGGCGTAATTGAGCCAAGCCAACTCATGACTAAACTCGGGCTCAACTCAGTAAATAGCTCATGAATTGAGCTTTATGATGAAACAAGCCAAGCTCAAGCCAAGATTCGACTCGTCAGCACATAAGCTAGCTCTTTAAAAAAAATCACGAATAAAAATATACTAAAAATATATTAAATTTTATGATGCTCATTATATTTGTCATTTTATGATAAAACTTACTTGAATTAATATTATTTTCCCTTATATAATAAACAAGCTGACTCGTGAGCATTCAAGTTCAAACTCGATTAATTAATCGAGCTCAAGTTCAAGTCAATGATGACTCAAGTTTGACTTGACACATCAATTCCCTTAGACGTCACCACCACCACCACCACCCCATCTTTCATAATGGTCAAAGTTTTATGTTCAGTTAAAATAAAAATAAGTTATATTAATATAGAAGATATATGTAAATATCAAACTTTGGGGGTTAGATATGTAAATACATAGGAATGGTGTGGTATGCATGTAAATTCCCCTAATAATAATTCCATAGCATGTCGGGGATCGCCAAATGGAATCAATTAAGGGTGGAAATAATTAAGCAGTTAACTGCCGGCCAATTAAGAAATTAAAATATAATTAAATTAAGATTATTTTTATGACTTGTCATCTTAATTTTATGTGTGTATTATTCCTCCATAGATTCAGCTCATGAGCTAGACAATATAATTAAATTATGGAAGAACTACACATATACCACTCAATTCCTATATATTTACATATCAAACCCCTGAACTTCAATTTTAACCTACGTATCATCTCATAAATGCATAAAAAAAATTAAATGTTTGATATGTAAATTCATAGGAATTGAGTGGCATGTATGTAAATTCCCCTTAAATTATTAACTAAATATGATCATATATTTATTTTGATGTGTTGATGGAGAAATTATTTCATAAGGAAACCGCATGTAGAGATGTATGCAGTGTCTGATCTCCACCGTGGATCACCCTGATCAGATTTTAAAAAAAAAATGAAAAGTGGGACCCACCAAAATACATTTTTGTTGTGATCGACGGTGGAGATCGGACACCGCATGCACATACATCTCTTCATGCAGTGTTCGTATGAAATAATATTTCGTGTTGATGAAGCTACAATTGAAATTTTTGTCTCGTGTTTCGACCCAATGTGGAGCTTGGTAGCCTAATGAAGCCCTATAAGTGATAAAACATGACATAGAAGCTATTGTCTCGATTAATTCGGATTTTTTTAGATATTTAAATATTTTAATATTACTTAAATATTCTTATTAGCTAAAAAATTAAATTTTAATTTATTATTATTTTATTATGGATGTTTTGGGTACATGACACAAAGTTTGTATGCATTTATATATTCAATGTCTAACATCATGTCAAAAATACCACTAAGGTTAAATTTTTAATGTTAAAAAGCTCATTTTCATGCTATATTTTGATGATTTGATGACACTAAAATGTTATGTAGGTAAATATCAAAATTTTGATGTTAGATATGTAAATACAGATAATTTGTGTAGTGTGTATGTAAATAAGTTCATTTATTATGTATTTTTTATTCAATTTGTCTCCTCCTCACCTCAGATATTGTTGTGTAGTGTTGACTCAATGTTGTTGGACTCTTTCATCATTCTTTGCTTTTATTTTAATGTTCATATATTATATTTCAACATTCCTAATAGAAAATTGACATATCAACATTTTTGTAGCTAATTTCTCATATTAATATGAGGATTGAACTACACGTGTTATATCTTAAAGAAACCTCATTCACGAGCTCTCCATTTCCTTTATTTCTTCCATTATCTGACTCTATTATTTAAAATCAAGTTGTTGAGATGATTTAGCTATTATAGAGCTCGAACTTTATCAAGTTTTCTTAGGTGGCTTCGGTTGCATGAGATGTAATTAATTATAGGGATTTGCATTTATAGGAGAGAAAAGTATATTGTGTAGATGTTCAATAGACTATACGAATCGAAAAGCTGCCCATTGACCAATTCTAAATTTACAATTCTAAAGACTTGAATTGTTCAGACCCAGAAATTTAATATTATCAGCTAACCTTGACATTAATAAGGATGATGAGCTAATTTTAGTATATTTAAATATTTGTTTTTATTTTATTTTTTTATTAATATAAATTTTAAATAATTTTCTCTTGATTGATAAAATAGTTTAGAGTAATCTTAAATTAATATTAATTTTATTTTTGATTTAATTTAAATGGCATTATTTAAAAAAAGGATTATAAAATATTTAAATAATAATAAAAGTAAATTAAATTTAATGATAATTTTAATTATTCATTTTTTTAATAAAATAAATAAAATATTGGCATTACATTAGCATTACCTTAAAGATAACATGATCACCACATTTTATAGCATAATTTTATGTCATAAGAATAAGTATAAGACTTTGGATGAATAGATATGTAAATACATAAGAATAATATGGTATTTATGTAAATTTTCCCCCTTTGGTTTCCGCATCAGATCCGTTCAAATGAAAATTTTTAATTTCAAAAACATTTCTATTTCGCACATCAGTTTCAACAGCTCCAAACCACCATTAAAAAGGTCTTTCCTTTGCTTCATGAGGACGACGGGACCCGAAGACCCCGAGGTTTCGTAGAAGGAAAACCAAAACCCTCCTTCAATATCCAGTTTTGCTTCTTCCTGAACACATCAAAACCCTAATCCATGGCGGAGAGGCCCACCGCAGATCCCTTTTCGACGCTGATTGAACCCTCATGTAACTCCATTCTATTTCATCCGGATCTCGTGCCGGACGATCACCGAGTGCTTCAAGGGGGGTTTCAATCCGAGCTCCCCCTCGAACTCGATTTCGATCTCGATGACATCAATTGGGACCTCTCCGTCGACGATCTTCTCATTTCAGAGTGTCAGGGAGAGCTTTCCCCACCTTTTCCTCCATCGTGCGATGGATCGCCGACGCAGAACTCGGGCGTATCGTCCTCCTCCCCTGTGGCCGGACATGCGTCGGGTAACATGAGCGTGAGGTCGCCGGAATCGGGACACTCAGCTAATTACTCTGCGGACTCTGTTGGGCGGTTGGGGGGTCAAGAGGAAGAACGAGAGGGAGCAAGGAAGTGCTAACTCTACGCTTAACCCTAGGAGCAGTAAGTTCCGACGGGGAGAGGAGATTAACTCCTGTGTGTTTAATGCGGGAAGCGAGGAGGAGGAGAAGAGGAGCGCGAGGCTTATGAGAAACAGGGAAAGCGCCCAGCTATCGAGGCAAAGGAAGAAGCATTATGTGGAAGAACTGGAGGAGAAGGTTCGGTCCATGCACTCCACGATTATCAAATTGAACAGCAAAATATCGTTTTTCATGACCGAAAATGCGAGTTTGAAGCAGAAATTGGGAGGAAATGGAAGCAATGGTCCTCAATCTGGTGTTTGCGTTCCGGCTGCTGTCCCTCCGATTCATTTCCCGTGGATCCCTTTTCCAGGCATCGCATTTAGGCCTCATGGTTCTCCTGTTCCATTGGTCCCTATACCTAAATTAAAGCTTCAGCAGCCTGAAAATGGTGGAAAGGTGATGAAATCTGAAGGCAGGAAGGGTGGGCGTAAGACTAAGAAGGTAGCGAGCATTAGTCTTTTGGGATTTCTGTTTGTGATGCTTACTTGCAGAGTTTTAGTTCCAGGATTAGAACACATTTTTGAGGGAAATAACGAACTTGTGGGATTAGGGCAAGGTAGAAATATGTATTTTGGAGATTCTAATGGTAGGGTTTTGAGTGTTAGTGGTATTAGTGGTAGCTTGAATTATACTAATGAAGTTAGGTTCAATGACGCAAAAGCTTTGGGAGAGGAGGATTTAAACAGAATGACGAATAGAAGTTCTCATGGAAAAATGGAATCAGAAGAAAAGCCGCTGCCTTTTGATGATCATTCATATTCCCAGAACTCCAGTGAGACTCTTCCTGCTTTATTGTATGTTTCGAGAAACGGTAAGCATGTGAAGATCAATGGGAATTTGATAATTAATTCTGTTCTGGCCAGCGAGAAAGCAGTTTCTCAAGCTAAGTCTAGAAATCATGGTGTGAAATCTGCTTCAAAGGAGGATAAAGATACCACCTTTGAGGTTCCTGGAAATCTTGCTTATGCACTGGCTTTATCAAGGTCTGGTAATGGTGTTAATAAACATTCAGAGTCACATGGTAGCTCAGCTGAGCAGCAGAGAGCACGTTCTTCTGATTCTGAAGATCTATCCAAGGAGAAAACACAGGATGGTCCTTTGCAGCAATGGTTCCTGGAAGGATTAGCAGGTAATGATTCTGGTTTTTTGTTCTTCTGTGCCTGGTCGTCAGTAGTCTTTCCTTCATTATTTTAAAAGATTTAATCTTGCTCTTAAGATTTTGTTAAAGTTTTGAAGATGTCTCATTGAATGATTCTAAACATTTTTTACTTTGTGCTGTATGAAGCCTAGATTGAGCTGCTAATACATGCCATAGTGGTCGTAAAAGGTAGAGGTAGACCTAAATAGATTCTGGCATGTTGTATAAAAAATGGCCCTAATTTATTAGAATTAAATGAAAATATGACACTCTATAAGACTCAATGGAGAGAAAGGATTCTTGCAGCTGATCCCACTTAGCGGGATAAAAGCTTGTTGTTGTCATTCATTCTCATCCTTTACTAGTCCCTTGAATTACAGTTCTAAATCATTTTGTTACATAGCATACAAGTTGTAAGTTTTGGATGCATTGTGACATTTTTTATGTTGTGCTTTGACAAATAATTTTAAATTTGATAATGGTGCATATGATAACATGTACTGTCGAGAGTAAGGGAGGGAGGATGTGCAGTTGGCTGTAGTCATAGGGATGTCAAATCAGGTTCACAAGTTTGGTTCGGGTCCTACTCGAATTGACTCGACCTGAAACTGCTTGATCTGAGCTCAACCCATCTTCAACCCAACTAACTCGAACCCGACACAGTTAACCCGTTCAAAATTGTAGTAACAAATTGAAAAAAGATGACAATTGCATTATTAATCATTGAATCTTGAAATAATTTCTCTACATAAGCATGGCATTTGACATTAGCAATAATTTATATGATATATATTGCACTCTTAGTCAAAAGAAACTCTTATACATCTTCTCAAATGTTGCAAAACTTTTCTATATTTACATTTCCATTGTCCTCTAAGGTCAATTGGTAAACTCAAATCAAGGTATGATTTTACCTAATCCAAAAATTAATCTGACAGGTCCAATATTCAGTTCTGGCGCTTGCACTGAAGTCTTCCGGTTTGAAATCTCCCCTTCTTCTGTTGAACAAAGTGGCATCATCCCTTCTTCCCCATCAACTAATTCAACCAAAACCTCCGGCATCAACGCAACTGGAACCCTCCATGGATCATCTTCACGTCCTGAAAAGAAGAAGAACCGAAGGTTTCTCTATCCAAGAGCAATTCCGCTGGCCGGAACTACTCTGAACAACTCCGAACACTTAGGCAAGGAACACAACCATTCGAACTCTGCTGCTCCGTTGGTCGTCTCCATCTTAGCCGATCCACGGGAAGTCAGCGACAGCGATGTTGAAGAGATAATGTCTGCAAAAAAATCGATATCGCGAATATTTGTGGTGGTGCTGCTGGATAGTGTTAAGTATGTCACTTACTCATGTGTTCTTCCTTTCATGAGCCCTAGTCCTCATCTTGTAAACTGACTGCTTGGGAGCAGCAGGAAAGGTGGGGGAAGAAATGAGGCTCTTTTTTGCTTGAATTGACTATTAGGTATGTTAACCCTCTTCCTTTTTGGTTTTTTTGGATGATTTTGCACTCATACAACTCAATTCTTAGTAATTTACACATCTAACACATGAACTTATACATAACGCCTTACCTATGCCTGAAAGATGTACTTCATCTTGTAAAAGTTAAAATTGCGGTGTTTTTTATCTTGGTGGTATAAATGTGAAAAACTAAAGTTTTGGTGTTTGATATGTAAATACATAAGAGTTGGGTGGTATGTATGTAAATTTCCTCTTTTTTTGTGGTAAGGTTTTAGCTGAAGGTTTTGGTTGAAAGTTTTCTTATTTATAATGAACGTTTGCTTGAAAGGTTATAAGTTAATTTTATTGTTTAATTGTGCTTATTATGGGACAGCCCAAACTCTCACCAAACGCATTGTCCGCCTTTGCCAAATGACCTATTTTTCATTTAGAATGAAACATGTGATAGACTTTTAATGATGACTATGGGTATAAAGCACTGATGAGAATTTCATGTACTTAAGTGGGGAGATTGTGAAACTCTTTAAGTAGATTGAAGCCGAACTCTTGAACATTGAAATCTATTTTAGTGTAATTATGGAGTTTTATTAGAAACTCTGAAGTTAAGCATGCTCGTACTAGAGCAATCTTAGGATTGGTGATCTCCTGGGAGGTTGCACCAATGGGGCAAAATCGTGAGATTATTTGGCAAGATCGGACAATGCCTTGATGAGTGAGAGTTTGGGTTGTCACAAATGTTATCAAAGCATTACACAAGTTGGAAGATGGGACTAAGTGCAGACCAAAGTGCTACGTCATGGGTGCCACCTCTTGAACCTAAGATGGGACAAAGTGCTGCATGGTGGGTGCCACCTCTTGGATCTGTAAGGGTCACCTCTAGAATCTCATATGTTTGGTGGATGATTCAGCATTGATGAGAATGTTAGGTACTTTAGGTTCTGGAAATTGTGAAACCTTTGAAGTAGATTAAAGTCTAACTCTTAAACATTGAGACAACTTTTGGTAAAATGGTGGTTTTCATTACAGACTCCAAACTTAAGTGTGTCGGTGTCAGAGCAATCATAGGATGGGTGACCTAATGGGAGGTTACACCAACGAGGCAAAAATCACAAGTCCATTTGGCCAAAGCGAACAATACCTTGAAGAGTCAAAATTTGGGTAGTCACACAGAATTTTAAAAATAAAATGGGTAAATTATGGTGTAATTTTCACATCCAAATAATTCTTTTTTATTGACTATTTTGTTCTATTGTAAAAAGTTATCTTAAATAAAAAGATATTGCTCAGAGTATTTACATATATAAAGAAACTCTGTCCATTAAGCGTGTTTGTTCTTTAAATTTTAGGTTAAGCGGTGTTCCATGAACTATGTATGACTTGGATTGAGTGGATGAACAAAAGTTTTTCTTCTTTATAATTGAAGAAAATGAAATTACAATATTGAGAGCATTGGCTTAGTCTCCTATTGACTGTGATAGAGATGATTGTCAAGCGAAAATGACGATTCAATGATTGTAGCCAAATGATAACAATCAAAAGACAATATTTGAATGACTACAATCAGGTGAAGACCATCATGATAAAGTGATTAAACAACAATGATCATGTAACGACAGTTGGGAGACGGTGGTGAAACAATGATAATCAAGCGACAACTATCAGAAGACGAAGTTCTCAGGCGACTATGATTGCTACTAGTGTTCACAAGTGTTGATCTATAAACAAAGCTCTAAAATTCTTCGTCAAATAGTCCATATTGTTTTCTTTGATTATACACTATTGATTTGGTATTTAGTTATCTTAATGATTTAGTGGTAATTTTGTGTCTAAATTCTAATTAATAATTTGTTTAAAGAGTATGATGTTGATCCCTTTTTTATGATATAAGAGAGAGTATGAGCTGTTGAGTAATGTGAAGTGTAAGGCAAGTAATTATATATGAACATAATTAATTAAAATATTGTTTTCTAAATAAAATGTTTAAAAGATATATATATATATATATTTGAGAGTTAAGAAATTATATTTCTTATAATAGATCACGACACGTAACATTTAATTAAAAATAGGAAGAATTACATACATAAACGTCAATTCTTATGTATTTAAATATCTACCACCTAACTTCATTTATAAATACATGGAATGCGCATGAAAAGGTGTATTTTGCTTTTCAACTGTTAAAATGCAGTGAATCGACGACTTATTGAATTTAGACGAGCAAAGTAGGGATGCAAATGGAACGAGTGTTTAATAAGTTATTTGTAGCTCAGCTCTATAAGAGCTCATTTACGTTCGTTTGATTGATTTATTGAACAAAGTCGAACATTTTTTTCAAGTATATATCAAATTATTCAATTATACTACTTATTAGTTTGTTTGATAAGTCTCTAGTTAGAAAACAAATAGCACGATGCAGTAATTTCAATTTGCTCGTTAAAGGTCTGTTTGGGGCAGCTTATTTGGTGCGGTGGCGTTTTTAAAACGCACATGACCTGTTTGGGTAAACTGCGTTTTGGCAGCTTATGTTTTTTCAAAAAACTGAAAACAACGTTTTCACACCGCACCTGGATCTGACTGCGATCTGACTTTTTCAAAAAAAATAAAAATTTATAATAGCTACTGCACCTAGCTTATCAGCAGATTATTTTTAATCAGTTTCTCGGCAGATTATTCAATAAGCTGCAATAGCCCCAAACAAACCCTAATTATTGCTTGAGTTTGGTCTATAATACGAATCGTTAATCTGTTTGATAATGTCTTGATTGTCACCATATGAAACGAAAATAAAACAAACTTAAGCAATCAAAAGAACAAATGAACTAAGTTTGAATATAAACACAAAAGCGCAATTTCAGCTTGAGCTCAGCTCGAGTTCAATCGGCATCCATAACCTCTTGCCACCACTAAACGCCAGTCGTCAGCTGCCACAACTTGCAATCGTTGTACCAAGACCATACTATTTTTGAATCTTCTAATATTCGTATTTTTTAGCTATATCAAAACAAGTATAGTTTTCGTGCTAGGATTGTAGAATGGTATCTACAACCTAAATTTCAATTATTAATCGCCTTATCTATGAATAAAAAGACGTTTTTCATTTTTTTTTTATTTATTTAATATAGCGATATTTTTATGTGATATGAAATATTTAAATGATGTGAATATAAAAAATTAATAAATAGGAATTGAGGGTTATGAATGTAAATGTCTCAAAAATTTAAGTAATATTCAATAAATGAGTTAAGACATGAAGGACATGTAAGATGTGGCAGTTGTTTGCTTCATTTTGTCTTCTTCTGCTGTTGCTATGAGATGCCGTCAACTGCCAAAAGGAAGCAAACAGATCTAATAATTGAAGAGGAATTTAGGGGAGTGTACTAGCTCAAGCCACCTCTGATTTAAATTTGAGCTTGATTAATCTTTATTGAGTTTGGGCTCGAGCTCGAGCTTCATTCTATGAGTTCGAGCTGGCTCGCGAGCCAGCTTTGATAATTGAAGAGAAATTTAGGAGTGTGTGCGAGTTGAGTCGACCTCGAGTCACACTCAGTTTTAGCTTGAGCTTAATTAATTTTATCGGGTTCGAGCTCGAGCTCGAGCTTAATTCCACGAGTTCGAGCCGGCTTGTTTGTTATAACAAAGAGAGTAATATTAATTTAATGTAGTGTTAAAATAAAAGGATAAATAGAATGAGCGATTATGAGAAAAATAAAAACTCGCTCAATAAAAAATACAAATTCTTATTTTAAAATTTTATTTTAATACTTTAAAGAAAAATTCTTTGAATTTAATATATTTTATATTAATATTATTTTAAGTGAATTGGCTCAGAAGCTAACAAGTAGGGTCTGGGCTAGCTTGAGCTGGGCTTGGTAGCTCATCAAGTTCAGCTTATGAGCCACTTAACAAGTCGAGCTCGAGCCGACTAACGAGTTGGGTTGACTCACTTACACCCTTAAAGAGAACCTAAGACAAGTTTATATAGATACGTCTGCTTAAACCAAAGTAAATTTTGGTTTAGTCATCTCGGTTTTATCAAATTTTTTATTGGTTCGGTTTTTTTTTTTCTTTTGATTTCAATTACAACCGGTATGATCAATTTGAAAATTGATTCGTCCAAACCTATTGAATGCTCGCCTCTAATTAAGAATAGGTAAATTTATAAAATTGTCAAAATTATATAGAATAAATAATAAAATTTTGATCATTTACAACTAACTGTCAAATTGTAAGGCGGGCAATTGAGCTTAATATGTGTTTGAGATAATTTTTTGTCTGTTTTGCTTTTTACAGCACTGCCAATGTTCTGTTTAGAGAACTATTTTTTCTTGTTTTAAAAAAATTGTATGGTAGAAAGTTATTTTTTTCAACTGGGGCTATCAAAGTGTGGTGGTTGCAAAAAAGTTACGATATGACTTTTTGAAAATAAAATAAACTTGTAATAACTACTGCAGCTTTTTGAAAAATAATTTTTTCTACAAAGGCTTCGGGACTGCTTCTTCAAAAAGCTGCAACTGCCCCAAACACTCTTAAGTTAACTCCAGGGATGTTAGGGAACGAGAATCAAAACCTCTTTCTAATGAGACCCAATCTCATATATGATGAGATCCATCACAACTTTCTCATGTTGCGTTCCATAGTTTCATTTACAGAGTTAATTAGAGTTTTATATTGTATACCAAATTTTAGAGGTTAAATTCATGATTTTAAAAATCAAATATGATGTGTGCTAGAAAATTTGCGGCGGTAGAATAATTGATTATTGTTTTAGCATAATATAAAGATTCAACACATTCTTAGAAAAGAAAAATCAACTAATAATGACACCAAAAGTTTTACAAGGAAAATTTGGAAAAAAAAAATACAGGGACTGACCTAGCTAAAGTGTTTCATTGTAAAAAGATGATTACAGTTGCAACCATTTGTCCCACAGGTAGGTATGTATTATTAAGTTTTTCAAGTTACAATGTCGGCTGACTGCGACCGATAGCGATTTGTGATGTTCGGTCTGTTGTTGTGATCCACAGACCAGTTGTGGATATATATAAAATAGAGAAGAACGTTCGACTAAGCGAAAAATAGAACGAGAAAAATTCATACCAGAAAATAACACATAGATATACGTGGTTCGGTAAATTATTTACGTCTACGGAGTTGCAG